GAGTGCCACCTTGTAAAGTCAAGGGTGTGGGCCACCTCACCGACCAGCCACCAAAAAATAAAAGTCTGTGCTCTAACCAATACCCTGCCACTTTATATCAGGGACTTGAGCGTCCTCAGATTTTGATACCCTGGGGGGTCCTGGAACCAACCCCCGACAGGTACCAAGGGACGACTGTTTCCGCTGGACAGCTTTATTCTTGACCCATGGAGGCAAATCCAGCCACTGCCTATTTTTGTACAGCCCCTGAGCTGAGAATAGTTCTCACATTTTTAAGTGGTCAAAAAAATCAAAAGATGAAAACCTTTCCACGACATGTGGGAATTACGTAACCTTCAGATTTTCATGCCTGTAGACGAAGTTTCACTGGAGAACAGCAGGGTGTCTTCCTTTACAAGTCACGCAGGGCTGCTTTTTCCCTGTGCAGGGGGATTGAGTGGTGCTTGAGAAAGCTGCAAGTATTGAGTGTTTGGCTTTTTACAGAAAAAGTTTGCCGACCCCTGGTTTCAGCGCTCAGCATCCCAGAACCCGAGAAGTCCAGACTCAGACAGCCCGGAACTCGAAATCCTGGGGTTCTAGAACCTTAGAATACCATAATTCTAGAAACCCGAGAACATCAGATTTATGAAATTATATAATTCCGTAACATTCTATGAATTCAGTGCTCCCCACCCCCCACCTTGCAGCCGGGGGTTCAAATTCAAGCTCCCCCATAGGCTGTGTGACCCTGTGCGATGACTCCACCTCTCTGTGCTTTGGTTTGCACAACGGGGACAACAAAGCTCCTCCCTGTAGGACTGTTGTCAACGGGAAAAGGGTTAACGTTTGTAAAGTGCTCAGAGAGTGCCGGCACAGAGATAGGTCTCATTGGGTCAACAGATGTCAAAATCTTAGGAATTTTGGCTTCAGCCACAGGAACCTTGCAGGGCCCAAGGACACCTCGGCTTTCTCTCCAAAGGAAGGTCTGTGGCCTCTGCAGCTGACCTCCTCCTTTACCCTGGACACTCACCGATTTGTCCGGGACTGATCCCTGGAGAGACTGTGGGGCTGTGGAGCGATGCAGGGTTTGGAGAAGGGTCTGCAGTGTGGCCCATGGATGGAGCCATGGCTGCGGGGCCTGGGGCTGCAGGTGCCACCTGAGCCTCAGCCTTACATGCTGGTCTGGGAGGCTGGCGGGGGGCTGGGG